CAATTTACATCAATACTTATTATTCAATGCATATTATAATTTTTGACGAAAAAGCAATTTCGAAGAGTCCATTGAGAATTCATTACTTATTCGCATCAATTTATTATAAACGACTCAATATAAGACTGAGTAATGTGTTTCATTCATTTCATTTTCAAATCTGTGGCAGATAATATCTTTTTATTACGAACTACATTGAAAATAAATTATGTATATTAAGACTCTACTTATCTTTATTAAGAGAATTTTGAGGTACAAAATGTCACTTAGGAAACAGTGAATTCTTCAAAAAAAAACTAAAATATAATAATATATGAAATAATATATTTCTATAGGCATTAAAAAACTTTTAATGTACTAAACATTAAAATGCTTATGGAAATATCGTGTTCTTTATTCTTATGGGAATATATCAGACCATATAATTGTTTCATCATCATCATTATCATATCAGCCCTTAACGGTACACTGTTGAACATAACCCTCTCCCTTGGGGGGTTGTGCCAGTAGTTGTAAATTGTTTAATTGTGTAATTGTTTTTTAAAAAATTTACACAATTTATAATACAAGCATTATCTCAAGACTTTTCCGCGTTTATTAAACCAAAATGAATTGTACGTATCAATAAGATGCCAATAGATAAACAACTTCAGCTGTATATTTAAATAAAATATGAAATAAGGATTATTTGTTAATTTAATAATTTCCTTTTTATAATGTGCTATTTAATAAATATAAAAGAATGTATATGCATAAGAGTAACTGTGGACGAAAAGTACAAGAATGCAAACTAGTTAAGTTACGGTGGGGACGCGCATAGAATTCTTACGATGATATGAATCATAAAACGGGATATGAAGCCCAGATCATACCACACGACGTTGCAGAGGGAATGAAATTTATTTATATTCATAACATTGACGTAGAATGAATCAAAGATTTATATAGCTCAAATCAAAGCACTACTGAAAACTCCGTTATAAGTTAAAACTACAAATATTACTATGACAGAACACACATAAGTACCTTTATTGGGTACTAAAACTTATATCTATTAAATGTATATATATATATATATATATATATATATATATATATATATATACACTATTGTATAAGGAACAAGTTCAGAACTCATTAATATTTCTGCGTACCTGAACCGATATTGATGATTATTACGTTTTAAATTAAAAAAGACTCGCTTTTGTTTCATAATAATTTCGTAACTTAAAGAAAATACTGATACCTACCTATAGATATAAAAATACTTTATTGCCAGAAATCGCACTGAATTATCGCAACAAAACATTACATTCTTCTACACTGGTGTATTTCGCCCAGAGTAGCTTCTTATAACAACTTAGGAATGAAAAGGAGTCTTAGTGACACATTGTATTGCGTAAGCTCGAAAATTACTCGGCAATAAAAACTCTTCAACAGAATATTATTCAGTAATTCCACGCTCTACGTTATGATGACTCCATCAAGTCGGAATAAAAGATCACGCCAATCCGGACAGTAAAAAGTGTGGATGTGAAACTAAACTTCCTTACTACAGTCGTGTTCATCGCAAACTGTTTGTATAATAGAGGGAGCGAGCCCTGGCATTGTCATTGTTTAATGGTTGCTCGTAGAATACAAAAAACGAAACGATAGTACCCTTTGTATTATCGTTTCGTTTTTTGTTTTCAATTTTTATACATTCTAATAAACTCAAAATTAACCTTACTAGGAAAGGTAAAGGATTATTTAATTTCCCACAAAGAAGAAAGTTAGAAAAAACAAAGATTTCAGTGTTTAACATGCAAAAATTTGTTATCTACTTTCATATATTTTGGTAATCTCACAGGTATTTTGGTAGTCTCAAACCCTTACTAGGAAAGGTTAATTTTCCACAAACAAGAATCTGGAAATAAACAAATTTTAAATAATGCCCAAATTCTTATTTTAAAACGAATAAAACGGACCTCGACTGAACAATAAGATATTTTATTAACAGATTAGATTAGAAATATTTGAATTTAGATCGTGGAATAATAATTAGATTCTAATCTTTATTTTTTTTTTCTTCGCTAATTATACATACGATTCCACGATCTATATCTATTTTTTTTTATTCTATTATGAGTGTTAACGATTGAAATCGTTTTTTTTTTTAATAGCACTGAGGTGGCAAACAAGCAAATGGCCCATCTGATGGTAAGCGGAAATATTTTATTTGTGAAATAAAATATAGTTATTAGAACTGATGTTAGTCTGTCTCTTTATTATCGTATCATAAGACAATATCTGAACGAATTTTAAATGAAATTATTACATATACATAATATAATTATAATCGAGTAATCAATTTAATACCTTATGATGCTTTTTTAGGATAGATTCAGTGAAACACGCAGTATAGTTTTACATTGTGTCTCCATAAATTAGTTTATCATACTTACAAAATCCTGTTAGTTCCCGTATCCTGTATTTGGTATAAGTATCATTTAAGTTTGTCTTCTGAACATTTGTTTTTACTACTGCGTAATAATAACAATAAACAAGCCCACATATGCCAACATAATTGCAATCTTGTTTGTGTTACAAATATACATAGATGGACTTCCAATCAGATGAACTGTTAGTTTATTTGCCTTCGCATTAATAAAAAAAAATGCATCTTTAAGTATATAAAGAAAAACTATATTTTTTATAAATTATTTTAATTGTAACTACAATGAAAATTCGAGCACAATTAGGAAAATCATAAATTTTGATACGGAGCTATTCAGAAATTACCAAGCAGGTGCGTTTAGTTATAAATTCAGTAATATAACAAACAGCAAAGCTTGAGGTTTTATGAGCACCGCCCTATCACAGTCGTTTTTATTGCCAATATTAATCATGATTTGCTCTGAACTTCAACTGTGAACTGCGATTATTTGAATCAGCTAAAATACTGTATCAGTGCCAAGTAATTAGCTTATCAAATTCGAATAAATCGACTTGAAGGAAAACTCGAAATAAAATTCTCTATCAAGGCACTTGTCCTTTATGATAATAATTACACTACATCTTACTCTAATGTGGAGAGGCAGCGAGACATTAGAATTTTTTCACGTCAATTACAGTTTAAAACAAACGAACTCTACGCTTGTAGAAAGCGTAAGTCCATATAAGTATGCTCCATAATTTTCTAATATTATAATTATTATGTAAACAAAACAAAAAAATAAATAAATAAACAACTGAATGCAGGTCAAACTAAAGGAGGAAAGTGTTTGAAGTAAAATTGAAGAACTATAAACATGTCTTCAAACTCATAACCAGTTTATGTTTTAAAAATTGTTTTATTAATCAAAACGTCCGGTTTTAACTGAACTTGTTCTCGTAAAAGCATATTTAAAAGTTAAATAAAAAAGTTGTAGATCCTTCTTTTACAGTCTTCAAGTTATATAGTAATTCATCTAAGAGTTAATTTTATCTAGACTATGGAATGTCTAGAGAATATTTACGCTAAATCTCTTACAATGTAATCAAAAAGAAGGGATTGTTAAAAATTTCTATCCAATGTTTTTTTTTTCTTAAATCTAGCATACACACTGGATTGTATCTATTAAGTTTGATTGGTCAGTCTAGGTTTTCCCTGATATATACATTCTTCCACCTTCACAATTCCAATCATTTACTCATCAGACATTCTTTCCACACCCCGAACTAACGTAGCATTCATTTTTGTTTCCCAATTCTTAACTAATAACAATAAAGGCGCAGTTTCCTCGATTAGCCATGCTTTCATCCATATTATTGCCTCAGAAATACCATTAATATCTCATTATTTTCTATTATCACATACTGCACAAAAGATCGTTCGCTCGTTGAATAGACATACGAGCCTAAATGATGACATTCTCGGATATTCTTCATCATTTCATAGCAGTAAATGTAATTTGCAGGAATATTATTATTTTGCAAATATTTTGAATTATTTTTTTAAATAGTTTCCTCATAAAAATATAATTTAAAACCAAAGACAAATAAATATGCTCGAGATTATAAACCCAAATGTGATAGACGGAGGCATTGTACTTTGCAATTGTGATGAAAGTAGCACGCGAATACATTTGAATACAACGTCTCGTAAAACCTATTGCAATTTAGTTCGTTAATAGTATATGGCATTGCTGGAGAATTTGCTAAAAGATTAAATAAATATTAAGTACCATTTCATCACACTAACTGTTTATTTTTAAAATATATACAGACATACTGTATTCGAGACATCGGACATGTGGAGATGCAAACCAAATACTTAGACATAAAAAGTTTAGAAAAGTTCATACTCTAAATTGAAATCCGTACTAAGAATAAAATACGAATTTTATGTTATAAGCTAGCTATCTTACATAAAGAAGATATTGAAAAATAAAACAAATTTTATTTTCTGCTGTACTCGAACATATAACTTTTTAAAAAAAATATTGTACATGTGTATTATTATATAATCAATCAAAGAAATAAAAAAAAATCTAACAATTTATCATTATTCTACTCGAATTCTACGCAAAATAGTTCATTATTCTGTAATAGAGATCACTAACAATGAAGTATAAACAATTGTTACGCGTACGTATTTATTTTTATCGATGAAAAACTAATAAACTAAAACTTCCATTATTTGTGTTTCGTGAACACTAATAATGTTTTTATAGTTCTGCAAAATTATTATATCATCTGCGGTAATATGATTATTACTTGCGAATAAACCACGTAAAATTTCCATTTATGCGTTTTATTAATTCAATGTTAAGTTTAAGCTCTCTGTTAATTTTATTTAAATTTAATAAAATTTTGCAATTTTTAATGTTTTAGTCCACAAGAAAAGAGCGAGATAAAAATAGTAAACTTAATATGCCCTTTTTGAAGAACCTTATACTATACTATTACCCTAATGGGAGACAAACGTGACAGGTTTATATGTATGTATGTATATTATTTCTTCAAACTTGATAACTTACTTTATATGCATCAGGTATATTGACGGGCTCGCCGCTCTCGGCCACGTATCCGACGATGCCGCTGCCCCAGGGTATTCGGATCTCTTCAAGTTGTTCCATTTGCTCAGGTGTGGACTTTGAGCACACGTCGAATAACTTCGAGACGAGGCATCTGTGAACGAAAATTGATACATTAATGGTCGTGATTGTCGGCACTTGACGGAACTTAGAAAACATACTCTTTTACACACTGTTATTCGCAGATTATATATATATATATATATATATATATATATATATATATATATATATATATATATATATATATATATATATATATATATATATATATATATATATATATATATATATATATATATATATATATATATATATATATATATATATATATATATATATATGTCCTTCATACAATATCACTAAAAACCTAACTGCGGTTGTTAACCTGCCTGCCAAGCGTGGCAACTACTGACAAACTCCTCTAATAGGGGAAGACCAATATTTAGCAGTGAAGAACATATAAAGGCTGATATGACGATGAAAAGGAAAAATTGTTATTCCAATAAAGAAATGCCGATATTGATCCTTACTCTTTCCACTAAAAGTAGCCATGATAAGTCATACAGCCACCCATAGTGACCAAGTGACTTAACAAATATTGCTAAATAATATAGTATTATTAAACCAAATTCACATACATTGCAGACGCGAGGAAAGCAGCGAGTTTTCGACTTGCATTGAATAAATCTTCTAAACATAAACTACGTTACAATAGAAACCACATTTCATTAGTATCAGAGGAATAAACAAGGCGCAGGCATACGACACGACAGGCTTAATCGAATTCTCTCTGGCCGTTGGGAATTTCCAATCGGCAAGTAAGAAGAATTCGTTTAATAAAAGCGATCCAGGCGGTTAGATAAATAGAACTAGTGCGATACAGGTCATGAATTATAGCTGTTCACATTATACAATAATTGTATAAGTATGATAAAAGTTATGCAAGCAATTCGTTAGTTACACGATCCTTAACAGCAAATCTATTTAAAATAACACTCTATTGTCTTATATTTCCACTACGCGTTTCGTTAGTTCAATGTGTTAATCTAATATATAGCCTATCTCTGTATAAAATTTTATTCAAATCTATCCAGCTATTTAAGTGTGATTTTGTAACAAACATCCAATCTTTTACATTTATAATATTAGCAGTATTTTTGTTAATATTATTATTACAAGTTCCCGTGTGGTCCCGGCATAGGCATGGCCTACAAACAAACAAATGACTGTTTTCAAAACTCAAATTAAATGAATTTATAAATTTTAATTTGGAATTCTTAACCATAGAGGAGATATTTCAGATCAAAGTGGTCAGTACGACAAAACGCTAATTTCATATGTAAGTACCTTATACCAGTCTATACGTTCATGTAATTCTGACATAGAATAGGGCACCCCTTCCTTTCCCGTGGGTGTCGTAAAAGGCGACTAAAGAGGGCGAGGAATAAGCAGCAGCGTTCCTCTTAAAACAGCTTTAAAGCTTAACTGCGGTTGTCAATTCGCCTGCCAAGCAACTACTGGCAAAACCCTCCTAGGGGGAGGCTTGTGTTCAGCAGTGGACAGTTAAAGGCTGATATGATGATAATTATAATTATTACAAGTATAACAATAACTAGTACATTTGGAAATTTTCTTTAAGGGAGAGATGGTAAAGGTATTTATATTAGTAAATTATATTTGTATAAAAAATTAAAAAAAAAAGTATAAAATGCCATAGGAGCTACAAGACAAAACTAAATAGATTAATGTGAAAAACAATATATAAAATTGTCCACCAATCCAGTAGAATAAAAAAAAAATTAGAAAACCAAGGATTCGTTTGTTTGATATAAACTTCTTCTTTAGAATTCCACAGTAGGTACATATTCGGTAGCCTAAAGGCAAACAGATCTCTCATTGAAGATTTTCCTTTCGATAAAAAAAAAGGTCCGCTCCTACAAACGAAAAACATTTTCCGACAAGGATGCCACGTTTCGAAGAATCATCTTTTCTAGGTACTAAAAATCACAATTCCATTTTCTATTCACACAAAGAATAAAAATAAAATTATTATTGCCAACATTTTTACCTATATATCAGGATATTTAGTACCTACATAGTAGAGCTCTATTCTGTAAAATATTTAGGTCACCGCTCGCCAGTATTCAATCCATCAACCCTTAACATCTACAACATTGGCAGCTGAATAATGGCTGTCAAGCCAGCCGGGAGCTTATATACTATCAGGTTCAATATTAGTTTAGGTTTGGTTTAGCATTTTTGTACTCACAACACTTTATTTAAAATACTGATAAACTGTAACAATGTCGTTTAAAATTAATTACTAATTAAAACTCACAAAATTCTTCAATGTACTTATAACATTAAAAAACTAAGAAAAAAAAAGCTTGGATTTGTACTAAATTTTCCTGTTTTGTTTGGTCAGCTTAGTGTACCAACTTCATAATAACGTCGTAATAACTTATAAAAAAAAAAAATATCAATTAATCATATTATATACCTACGATATAACCTTGTTGAGTTATTAATTCACATTATGTTCACATTGTTTAAAAGATTTAAATTTTTAATATCTACAACTATAGAAAAAAATCCTTATTATTTGATATGATATAATAATTATTTTAGACCCATAAATCTATAGAAAATCAAGAGAAAATAAGAACATTCAAGTGACGTCTTCTATCAAAAAGCTGTATTATTGAAAAATGAAGAACATTAATCAAATACGCGATGAATAAATGACGTCAGCAAAATCTTATACTCCCCAGGACTCTGCCTTTAAGAGCACACTCAAACTCAATAAAATCCCTCAGGCGAGATGCTTAAGTGACGACTACACATGTAACTTCGTTTCTGTACTTACGACGAAATAAGATAACTAGATGTGCGTCATAAATGGAACTCGTTTAGTACTCTTTGCCATCCTTTCAGATGAATTTCTTAATGATAGCTTTCAGCACCATTCACACAACTACGAGTCTAGGTAACATTAGTATTCATATGGGATGGAAAAAAATTAGTTGAAAATTTATCAATCTAATGTGTCTGTATAACAATATATTTGTTAGTCGATGTGTTTTATTATAATTGAAGTCGCTGTTTTGCAAAACGTTTTCACATAGACTCCGTCAAATATATTTAGATATTCAGAATCGTGCGAATACTCGTACATACATCGTACATATAGACGTAAAGATTTTGTCATATTATACGTCTAAATCTGTGGTATTGTATGTGAAATGAACTGTCTGATATTCGAATTACTTGTCATTCCTCAGTAAAACAACGAATACCTCAATATTCGTACTAAAATACCAGAGTGCATTAATATTGGTTTCCCCGATATCTGTGACTGCGAGTAATGTATGGTAAGTCCCTGATGGAGCACTATAAGGCCGGATGAGTCGGATCTCAGGTATATTTAATCCGGAGATATGCGAATGGTGCTTTAATATGATACATTGAATGTTTTCTTCACTGCGTCGCATGACTCTCGAAATCTAGTACAATTTTCAAACTTTATTTTCAGAAATAACAAATGAAGAATATTAATGACTTTGAGACTTCTGAAATACAATGGCAAAAATCGATGCTCAGCTTAATTTAATAATATTTACCTTCTTATATTTGGTAGCAACTAATATTGGCATAAGATCATAAATAAAGGTAGTTACCCACAAAAAAGCCGATTCTAATTGAGATAAAAGCAGTTATTTTAATTCCAAAAGTACTCAATCCATATTGAGAAAATTTTAATGGGACCAATCTATATCCTTTTACATAAACAAAAATTTTCCAAATCTATTCAGAACTAATGGAGTCATGAGGACATCAATAGACATAAAAAAATACAACTAAATTGGGAATCTCCTTCTTTTTAAAGTCGGTTGAAATTAAATTAGAAATTACGTCGATTAACCAAACTATAACACATCAGCCATTAATTGTTCACTGCTGAACATGGCCCTTCCTCTACTGAGGGATTTTGCCAGTAGTTACCACGCTGAGCAGTAGGATTGGCAACTGTAATTAGGCCTTGGTGGAGGCGCTTTAAGATAGACGCTGCTGGTCATCTCTCGACCATTAAGTTCCTTTACCTTTTTGTGACACCCACGAGAAAGGATGGGGTGGACTATTCTATGTTGAGCAATTACTCAATAATAAACGGAAAATACTCAAAGCAAAACAAAAAGTATTATTGTTGTGTGTGTTGGGTCCTGTAAAACCGTATTCCTAAAATATACTTGTATGTCATTGCTATTGCTCAATATATCTTTAATATTCCTGAACATAGTTCCTTCGTTGTCAATTAGACTTTATGTCCAAACATATAACATATGCGGATCACCGGATGGTAAGTAATTACTGTAACCCAAAGACGCCTACGACATCAGAGAAATTGCAGATATGTTGCCGGACTTTATGGACGGAATAAGCTTTTCTTAAAGCTTTCAATGGTGTATCTGTTCAAAAAACTGCTGCTGATAGTTGATTCCACATTGTATTAAACGTGGAAGAAATTATTTATCATGCACGATAAATGACCGCCCGTCATCCAGATCGTCGATACAGCACTTCAGCCTGTTGCAGTTTATATGGTGATGTATGCATCACAAAAATAAAATAAATGAAAATCAGTACATATAAAACATAACAGAACTTTTTTTACATAGCAAGATATATTGAAAAAGCTTGTTGTTAGTAATTGAATATTTTGTTTTAGGCCTCGTACAAAAGAAACAAAAATTTGATATGAAAATTCTTTAATCGCATTATGTTTTCGGCACATTCTAAACGCCCCTTTGTTCTTTTATCCCTCTTTGTACGTGACCTTGACCGTAAACAGGATAAGCAATAAAATATTTCAAACTGACTTTCCATTGTAACCATAATGTTCCTACTTGTAGTATAGATAAGGTTTAATTTATTGTCTTGTAACTGTCTGACAGTAAATTATTATAATCTCATCATCATCATTATTATTATTTCAGTATTTAATCATTTACTGCTAAATAAGTATTCTAAATTGATTACTTAAAAAAAAATAAGTCATCTAGACCCACCAACTTCCACCAACATACGTATAAT